GGTTCACGGTATTAAATGTCTTTTTAAGATATAACAAAACAACCATAGCAAGGTCGTGATCCACGTTGACATACCACTCATTTGGGTAATCTACAAAAGACAACACAGTCCTGTAATATTGAAATTGGTCTGTAGTTGTCAAGCATTTTTCGTTGACCCTTCTTTTGAATCATGGGAAACTTTGAAACACTCAATTTCGCAAGAAAAAACAATTTTGCTTGAAACTCTGGCAAATGATAGGCTTTATCGAGACTATAACTAAAATAGGTTTACTTTGATTCACAATAAATTTAATTTTTGGCCTCGCTGGGGGTCGCTGAGTATTTTGTCCCGCCACGACCAGTCACGCGAAAACTGAGGCAGCCGCTGGAAGAACAACCTGTAGAGGGCCTAAATGTAATAAATGACCCTAAATTTAATAGTCATAAATGTAATATCATTTGGCCTCAAATGCAATAAACTCTTAAGTGTGATAACAGTTGACCTTAAATGTATTGACGTCATGCTGGCGTCATCAAAGTTGCAAGTAATACGTCATTAAACAACTAACTAGTTATGATTTGGTTGCCAAGAATGCCGCCGGAGTGTACAAACCTAGACATGGAAAGAAATTGAAAGGAACTTTAGACGCAAATTTCAAAAGTAAAGTATGGGCCTCAACAAAAGTTTACAGTCTCTTCAGATCAGAGACCCTGACCTAAAACGTTTCCCCAAGGATGACTATCATTTATGTGTGCAATGTTCGCATTAACGATCCAAATTTGTTTTTCGAAGAAAGTATTACAAAAAACTCTCTTTATTTTTGTAAAGGAACTGAAAGAAACTGGGACTCGGTTTGCGGCCCAAATTCTTTACTGCCTTTCTTTAGATTTCGATTTCTACATTGTATTTAATGAGTTTGGATCCCGAGAGTTGACGGAATCTGTAAGACACTGGAGCAAGATTTTGTTGTTTGCTTGACTCGCGACTGCAAGCATGCACGGTATACAGTATTTGGAAGAAGGAGAATTATAATAGTCCATAAGCCAATTCTCAAAAGAGGCGTGCAAATGGAGTTTTGTAGCCACTTCGAAAACAACTCCAAATCCGAACCCAAATAATAACTCCGTGCTTTTTATGCACGCGCGCTCAAAAAAGAGCGCCTTTAATCTTCAGTTCAGTAAAACTACACGAGGTGCGCGCTGGTCATTTGCGTGCGCACCATGCTGGACTAGTCTATGACGGTTTTCCGCATCCGGTTCTTGACCCGACCACATTTGGCTCAAAGAGAGTACGTCGTTTTACAAGAACGAATCCAACGCAAGAGGAGTGTAGCTTGCGTTATCTGGTCAGGTCTATATAATTTTAAGTATGAACCGACGCTCCGAACCCCCTTATTTTGTTTTCAACTCGTCTTGAGGCTCAATAATGAGTAATACATCTCTTTTTTTTTATTCCCCAAACCTCGGAGCCAAGTATGGATTTTAATATATTGAAAATGGTCTATTAAAGAGAGCTTCTGTGACGTTAGGTTTTGGGCTTCCAAGCACAAATCGGGGAAAATAAGCGTAAAGAGAATTCGAGCGACCTTCGTCGTGTGAACAACAAGGGGGGAAAACTAACTCTGCAACTCGCTTGGCTAGCGGGAAAGGAACTCGTCACTGTTCCACGGTATTAGGATCTGCTACAACTGGAAAACAGGACAGCACTCAAACTTGGACTTCAACAGTTTTTAATCTTCAGCTCGCGAACGTAAATCATACATACATGCGTATCCAAAATGTAACTGAATCGTACAAGCATATAAATCCGCAATGTAAGTCGAAAAACAGGGATAACAGTGCTGTATTTATACTAACCGATCAACTTATTACAACATCACAAAACAAATGAAAATGAGGCTGAATAAAATCAGCTGAACACCGAAAACATAAATTCATAAATTTATTGCACAAATTCAGCTTTAAAATTCATATGTTAAACTAAATGACTCAAAACTAAATGTCAGTCAAGCCAGTGAATTTGGGAAATTTGCAAAGAAAGCTCTGTAAGAGAATTTGAGCTTCCTTCCCTAAGGATTCCTTAAAATGTCAAAACTAAAAACTAAAACGCGCACGGTTGGTATTTGAACGGGCGACCAAGCTGAATAATTATTCAGAAACTTAAATTATCCTTTTAAAAGTCAACATTGAAGCGAAATGTGTATATTGTGAAAGAACGAAAACATCTTAATGCAAATTCAATGTAAATTACGGCTAGAACAATTTCAAAGGGAATATTTAAAAGCTAGGTAAGACATTTGAGGCAAATAAAGAATACATGGAAAACTGATCTCTCCTTACACTTCGATTTTAGCCCTGGAGAGATCTATATATATTACGCTAAGCATCATGGGAAGACGTTCCAATCCTTCTTGAGGTTCTCGTAAACGATTTTGGAAAAATGATAAAAAAAAACATGCTAGAGCCAAGAAATAAGGCTGCAAGCAAAATAGGTAACGACTCGATCCGTTTCTATGACAACTCCGATTTCGAGTCGCCTTGTGAAAGTTGGTGATTTTGTTGTTCGTTCATCTGTTTGTTTCTTTGTTCTTGTTTTTGTTTATGTTTTTTTGGTTTTGCTTTGTTTGTTTTTTGTCTTTTTTTTAGTCCTCTGCGACAATTCTATGCAATCTTAACTGCAAAGCAGTAAATTTTCAAATTCTCCCGGCAGCACCCCCAGAAAGTTATTGTTAGTTTCGGCAGTTGTAAAAATTGGTATTTCATTTTCTTCCCGTCTCAGAGCTTTAAATATTTCTTTTTTAAGAAATGATGAAATTTCTTGATTTTGGTTTCCTTTCAAATAATCGTTATTCGCATTGTACAACCTCCTCTTGATGTTCACTAAGAGATTTGAAAAAATAAAATGAAACAATATTTCATGATTATTCTTTTAGAATCTGATCTATAAAGCAATGTCGCGGTGACTCAAATGTCTTAATTTTTTAATCAATCAAAATATAAGAAAGAACTGAAGTTAAATTTTACCAACATTTATTAATTCGACAATTGATTCCCCCAATAAAGATGACAATAGTTATCTTTTTGGTTAAGTCCAGCTTTTTGTAGAACTATTCGGTGAAATAAATCGACCGCAAAACCAAATAATCAGCACGCAAGGAGTTCAGGATGACCACTCAAGCGTTAAAACTTGTCAAAATATTGTGGAATGCATGGCTGAATTGACCTAAGACAACATGCATGAACACAATAGCCATAGGCGCAAAACCGTGATTCAATATCATTAATATTACAAGCTCTTTTGCTAAACGAATTTAATACTTTACGTTCAGCGTCGGCCAGATGTTAGCAATGTGGTGAAAATTATCTTCTTTGATCGATGATACTGATAAAATCACCTTCAACGAAGCTTGCCAGTTACGTCAATCGCCAACGAGTGAAGCCGAAATTCTTCTAAAATGGAAGACCTTGACGAAAAGGCGAATCCGTCGAGTAGTTACCCGACCGCTGCTACTGCTGCTGGTGTTCACGACACTAACAATTGTCAAACATTTGCCCCGTCAAAAGGCGAGAAGGCACTTGACGTATTTATTTTCGGGATATTTGGTTTTATCCTTCAGATTTTTTTCTCCATTGGGATCTCAGCCTCTCAAGACATCTTGGAGGAGACATTGGTTCCTACACCGGCACTGTTAATTTCTGCTTCGCTGCCATTTTTCTTTATCACATCTGCTATGCCCTATTTTATCCTCAAACTTCCTCAAACCTTTCTTCTAGTGCCAATCGTGTTTCTTAGCATTATCGGAGTATTACTGTATTCTTTAGTTGAGAATGTAGTGATTCGGATAGTAGGAGTGGTGATTGTTTCTACTGGCGTTGCAATCGGCGAAGTTACGTTTGTTTCATTGACTGCTCTCTACGGTGACAGAGCAATGAGTGCGTACGCTGCCGGTACTGGAATAGGATTCATCATTGGACCACTCTACTATACAGGTAAGGTGACCGCTTAATAGGTACGAGTAACCTCCGATCAGGTGAAAATTGGCAGTTTAATTAGCGGCTCTCTTTAATTTTCTTAGTTTTGCAGGTGGCACTTTTGTATTTTCCGGCCATTCCCTTAAAACAAATTTATTACACTGAACGAAACATCGCCTGATCGAAGATCATCTTAAAGCAATTAAAAGCAATTAAAACAAAGACGCAAAAATCAGAATTATTTCGTGCAGAGTAATAAACATGAAGGGGGAGTAGTCATTTCCGATTAGTCATCCACGGACGGCTCAAAGTTCATAGAACGATCAATTACAGTTGTGTACAGTGGTCAAATAGTACCACCGAAGAGGAGAAGTGCTTGTCAACGGCGCCTAACATTCTGGAAGCTTTGACTTTCATACATCTATCCTTTTAAGTTAAGAAAAAAAAGAAGTAATTTTCAATTATTTGGAAGTTATTCTGAGAAAAGGAAGGGCAAGAGAGGTAAAAATCGGCAGGAGAAATTCATGGGCGTTAACAGCTGTGTAAACGGTACGGTGTCGCAGGGGTTTTCGAACTGAATGATGCAAATTAACCAATCGACAGCTACAAGTTGACAAAAATAAATGCAAATAATCATGGTCGTGTTTTATTGGGATGAACCGTTGGATCAATTAAAGTTTCTGGGAAACTGCCCACCTGAACCGTTCTCAGTTGGTTTAATCCCTTGTTTGTTTGTTGTCCTTGTGTTTGCAAGAATTTGGTTGACCGACTTTTTCAGCCAGCACAGAACATAATTGAAATGATTCAGGGGCACCCAACGAGAAAAACCCTTTAAAGTCCTTAAACATGGCATTGTTGAACGTATTTTAGTATTTAAACAGTAGATATGGGCATATTTTTATTCCCGTAAAAATTTTTCATCTGTTCGGACTTCCTAGCTGAAAGTCTAGTGATCCGAAAATTAAAGGGATCAAAACTTACCTTTTCGAAAATTTCAGCCGGAAAAAAGGCTCCCGAAATTCTAGGTGACCTTCTTAGGGTAAAAATCTGTTAAAAATGGGCAATTATACCATTTTTAGGGGTTCGAAAATCCTAGGAGAGTCAGGCAAGCAAGAAATTTAACAACAAATGTTCCGAAAATTCTAGATCTCAAATCGTCTTCCGAACAGATATTTTCCAAAAATTGTCGTTGGGTGCCCCTGATGATTGAAAACGTGCCGAGGCGGTGATCTGAGCTGCGTCATTTTTCTGCGAGTGTTTGCGTGGGCCTAACATGAAAACTGTAAAGGACCTTTTAGGGGACAGGAAGCCCTTGTTCAATGATATGTGACAACTTGACTTTACGTCTCGTTCACGTCGATTAAATGACTTCTCAGTCTAGCGACAATTTTACGACCTAGCACAAGACTAGTTCAGTGAATCTCTCCGACAAGTTCGCTAAGGCTCCTTTTGTCCTGACTGGACTTAAAAGGTGTCAATCCCGGATCATCTTAATTCAGTCACCGTCTTATAATTATATCAGTGGAAATCCGACTGGCCGCAACAGTTACTAAAATATATATTTTCCTTCGAGCTATTAATGGCGTAATAAGAAAATCGACTTTCACACCAAAATTCACATAGGTCCAGTAAATGTCCAATCAAAATAAAATAAAATGAAAATTGCAAAGAATGTTCGTGCGAGTAAAAATCCGAGCTATGTACAATACCGTTACAACCAAAAGTACATTTGGTCAATTTGCGTACTGTGCCAAAGTTGTCCTTTGGAGCCTTCTTTTAGGAACATCGTAACGTTACTAATTAATCCCATTCCTTTCCATACACTAACTCTCTTGGTTAGAAGTTTGCAAGGAAAAACCAATTAGTGAGGAATATGTTACAAGAACGTTTAGTTAGCACCTGTTCTCAAACAATCAAGGATAATTACATTTAATGAATGCGAAATAAGCTAAACCGGATCCAAAAAACAGGTTTTTAACCTCCAAACAAAGGCCAGTTCAATAAACGGCCCAGAGGCCGAATAGAATTGTAAAAACAGTATTTCCATGGCAGGATTAAAGTACCTGACAACTCGAATTGGTCAGGAAAAAGTCAATTAATAGAAACCAACGTTTTTCTTTGTTCGAACAGCTTAAATGATCTCAAATCAACTGAGTAAATAATTCATGCAGTTTTAATGGCCCACGTTCTATGACTCAGAGGCTTTTGGGACAAAAAAGCAGTTTTGTTAAGACTCCATTGGCTCTTAACTCCCAGAAGAGACTTGCAATTGAGCACAAAGAAAAACAAAACAAATATAGAAAAATGAGCTAGATGAGAAAGCCTTGGTAGTCAAGTTAGAATTTTGATAAATCGAACGTGGGTTAGTTTAAGCAAAAGAGAGAACTTACCAAATCTGACTACGGCACGTGCGTCGACATCCAAAAAGGACCTACTACAAATAAAGCTTGCACATTTCACGTATACTTATCTATAAAGCATCCTTAAATATCATAAATCAAAGCGATAACTGTAAAAATATCCCAAGGAACAATGCTTACGTTGTAAATAACAACGGTTAATGTGGTTAATGGCCTGCTTAGTAACTTATCGATGCGAGCGAAAGATAGAACAGACCAACAAACCAAGCATATAAAACACGAAGCGAACGGTTAAGTAGAAATGTTAAGATGAAAATAAAGGGTCTCCAATTAAGCCCGGCATCCCGACCACATTTTTGTTCAGCCCCGTAAGCCCGATGGTTATTTTTGGCGCCCCGTATCCTGCGTCCCCTACTTTCAATCCCGAACCTCGCCCCAATTTTGCTGTCAAATCGCAAATCCCGGCGTTCAAGTAAGTAGGGTTTTACGATCCCGTCATCCCGACCTACATTTTTGTTCAGTCCCGTAAACCCGATGGTTATATCCGAGGTCCTGCGTCGTGCGTCCCGCGTCCAGTGCAGTACTTTTCATCCCGAACCTGGCCCCAATTTTGCTGTAAAATCCCGAATCCTGGCATTCAAGTAAGGCAAACCCATCATCTTGAGAAACCTGTTGGGGACCCTTCCGGGGAGGGCTCCCATATGAAAGGGGCGGGGATGCTCGTTGGGAATTTTGAGTTGAACCCCTAAAGGAGACAAATCTGGGCTTGGCCCAACCTTTTTTTGACCCCGAAAAGAGACCATTATAAACTTTGATTACATGAATCGAGTAAATAAAACGAATTGAAAAAAATTTATATTTTTTTATATTTCTTCGCGTGCAACCCCAAAAGAGGCCTTTACGGCTAAATATAATGGTGTTTTACCCGGAACACCCTAAGTGAGACCAAAATCCGAAATTTACACCCCTCAGCGAGACAACGAGCATCCCCGCCCCTTTCATATGAGTTCCCCCTCCCCCCGGGCGGATCCTCAGATGATACGACAAGTTAAACTAAGACCCAGTGTTTTTTTTTTTCTTAGCGATGACAACCGTTATTTGTGTGTCTCCACAAACAACTGTTCTCCTGATTTCTTGGATACCCCTCAGCATTTTCCTTTGCTATGCACTAATTGAAAAGAGAGATTATGCGCCTGTGCCTGGTCATGATTCCTATCAGGACATTGCTTATACTTCTCTCCCTCAAGAGAATGCTCCAACGGAAGAAAATTCAACAACTTGGTCAGAAAAGCAGGCTTTAATTGTGCAAAATTTCCACCTCGTTGTTGCATTTTTCGTAGGATACTTTTCAGAGTTTTTAACTCTCAACGGAGTTGTCACAACGCTTGCCTTTCCCAACTCACCTTTCGACCCGAGGAATCACTTCGTGTACTACGCGTGCGTGTTCATGATTGGTGAATGCATAGGCAGGTCTTACATATCTTTCTTGGCCTTCATCAACCTGCAATATGCACTGGTTATTACAAAAACCTGGATATTGTCAGTAATTCTTTTTGGCTTGTTGAATTTGTTAACTCTTGCATCGTGGTATCGATTTCTGCCTAGCGTTTGGATAGTGCTACTGCTTTGCTTTGTTGTCGGGCTTTTAGCGGGAAGTTTATACCTTAACACTTATCTAGTGGTCACCGCTCGTGGACAAGACGACGAAAAAGGCAAGGCATTTTCGCGCGCTTTTCTCTCGGTGGGACCAAGCGCCGGAGTGTTATTTGCTGGTATCGTGGGCCTGGGACTAGAACCAGCTCTAAGAACGCACTGCCTTGAGTCGTCGCATTTCAGGGAATTTTGTTTTACAAGGTCTATGTACGGATGGAATAAAACCACATCTTGTTTGAGGTGAGTTAGCTGAACACTCTTTTCTTCTATCTCCGCTCAAGGATTGCGATGAAGAAGATGGAGCAAAAAATCTTCTCACCAGAGTTATTGAAGAGAGAAGAATTCCCCTCATCATACGAGAGTAATGAGACGTATATTAAGGAATTTGAATTCAGCTTACCAGTGGGCTATTAACCTGCGCTAAAGATGAAACTATACCCCTGGTTAAGTTCGTCTGCGAGCCAGCGCCGAAATCTTTGTCCTGCGCTCCCAGCTGTTTACCAAGATTTGAGTACGCGCCATGATTGGCCTGTTCAAAAAAAAGTCATTGATCGATTGGGCAATCAGGTTGAAAGGAAATTCGAAACGCAGTTCCGGTAATAGGCCATTTCCGGGTTGCCGCAGGTCCCCGTTTGAAAGCGAGGCTAAGTGCGAAGCTATTGATATGAAAACGATTCTTTATTCTCGTGCAAATACAAGTCATTCATAAGAAAGGTTTTGCCCTTAGTCTCGCTTTGAAATTGAGTTTTTGGAACTCGGAAATGGCTTATTCGTTGAATCCACTGGGGTTTTAGAATGCCGGCATTAGGCTATTGACCATTTTGAGGTCTTACTTGAGTTTTGTATCGACTATTGCAATGTTGCGTAGGAAACTGGCTCAAAATAGTGCCATAGTGCAACTGGACACAAACCGATATAGTCTGGCAAACTGACAAGGGTGGGTGGGGTGCTTCTACTTAACAATCGGTAACAAAGAGAGTGAGACAGTACGTGCTGTTTGGACGTGGACAAAGCTTGACGTGAAAATTTGAATTGCAAAACAAGTATTGTACCGTACCCTCAGTGTAAATGAATTTTTCACATTTGCAATAAAATGCATTCTCTTGTTTATCAAAGCGTTTTGGAAGAAAAGATGGAAGGGTGCCAGGGGGGATTTTGTTAAGAGGAGATTACAATTTTCCACCCACAAAAAGGGTAACAGTAGTAGGGAAGGGGGAGAGAGATGTTTACACCAGCATTTAAACAGAAGAAAAGGAAAGACAACAATTTATCCGCCAAGTCTTACTTGTATATTTTATTAGGATTTTCAATATCGAATGCATCATATTTCAGTACAAATAAAAATAAGCCTGGTGTAGACGCACTTTTAAAAAGACTTGATCAAGTGTCATCTTTCGACGGTCTATCTTTACTAAGCTGGAGGTTTCACTCACCTTATTTGATTGTTTAACGCAGTTATTTTGTAGGTCAAAGTGCCCATTTTAAGATGAATGTAAATGAAGGTTGAGGTGATAGTGATTAGATAACATCTTTCCTGATTTTCATATTATGTACGAATTCTTAGGGGCAAGACAAACAAGGAATCATTTGTCACACCCACTTCCCACCCCCCCCCCCCCTCCCCACCTACCACCTTCCTGCTTCCAAGTGACTTTGCAGTCAATATTTCTCACCCCAATTATCCCTTGCCGCACCTTGTACCTGCGTCCACATTTCTTTCTTCAACACTATATCACGCTAAAACAATCATGGAAGGAAACAGAAACAAATACACAACACAACCATTTTCACTACTTTTTTTATTGTTTAACGACATTATTTTTTTGGGGAAAATGCCCCTTTTAAAAGTAAAATAAAAGCAGGTTTAGGTGAAAGTGGTTTAAATAAATTTTTTCTGTATTTTCAATTATTTTTGAATTTTTAGGGGGAAAAAAAAAAAAGAAATATTTTTCCCCCCCCCCCCCCTCCCTCCCCCTCCCAGAAAGTTCTTTTGTACATGTGTACATGACAAACAAAAAGTTGGCTCGACTACAGGGGTCACCCTCCTAGCCGGGCCAACTTTTCTACAAATTAACACTTTGGCTCACCTTTCCGAGGCAAGACAATCGGGACTTTAGGATCCAACGACGCTGGGTTTAATAAGCAAAAAAATACTTGGCACACGCAACACACTTTGTTTTGACACTTCTTTGCCGTTTTTGCACGATGACGACGTGAAAATGCCTTATTTCGCGTTTTATGGAGGACAAAAGCAAGCAACGATGAAAATTTATTATTAGCTTGGATATGTTCACTTGAAATTCGGCTTCAGGAGGGTTCGCCCTCATTTAACAAAGTAAGTGGGTAGTAAAAATCGATATAAAGACTGAAAGAAAGCGAATTCACTTTTTAAACGACGTTTTCGTTGCCGTTGCGACGTTGGATCTTAAAGTCCCTAATCAGAGAGTGAGCGAGCGCTGTTCTAAATAATCAGAGCACGCGCGAGCGCTTTTGGCTCGGGTAAAGGGGTCAACGTTTTTCTCATATAAACGCTGGCTGAAGTTGACTCGGCTCGGAAGGTGACTCTTCTACCCACAAAAAAGTTTTTTCCATATAAACAGGGCCTTAGGAGACAATGAGGTTTCGAGAAACAGGATTTGCTGCCTCCATCTAGAAGAGTTAAATGTTTACAGAAAAAAATACAAACAAACAAATGACATCCAAAATTCACACCCATTTTTGCATATAAACAAATTGTTGCTTTTCCTTGCAAAAAAGAAGCCAAATCAGTTTTAAAAAAAAACTATCAATGCTAACTAAATTGGCATCAGTCAACTCTCATCAAATGCGAGCACAACTCAAATAACCCTGTATTTGCATAATCCTCGTAGGACAATTATCCATTTTGATCGCAGAAAACAACGCCCTCTTAACGCTCCAGAAAAGAAGAGTTGTGGTAGAAGGTAGATTCTCACCAAAGACAAGTTCTTAATCCCAAAAAGTCGTTTGATTTTAACAAATTTTTTGACCGCAGGTTTTCACTACCATAACTCTTTCCAAACTTCCTCTCTTGACAAAGACGGCGTCCACGTCCCCCAAAAATCAGGGCGGATACAGGGGAGGCCCCTCCCCCTTATTTTTAGACCAAAGTGAGGCCTGAAGGGCCGAAAAAAAAGAGACCGCCCCCCTTCCGGTTATCTCAGGGTCTGGATGACCGGGCACCTTCTTATTTGAAGGTCAGGATACGCCACTGAAAATGCCCCCGCTTTGCGGGGGCCGCATACAGGGACAAAGAAAAATTGAAGACTTGCTTCAGACTACGGAAGATTCTTTTCAATACGAATCACACAAGCTAGTGGAGAATCACTCCTAATAGTTAAATATAAAGCTAGCAACGCTAGTGATTAAGTACGAACTGCAGGGTTGTCACTAAGATTTCAAGTTGCTGGGTAAATACAACAAGTAGGCGGGGAATCAAACAGCTGGGGGGTTCTTTCGGTCCTTTGAAAGTAGCCAGCCCCCGCCTCTAAATGACAGCCCTGCGAACTATAGCGTAAGGAAACAGCCGACACATCGCGACACCACCACTGGTTTCCCCGCGAAATGACGTCTGGGAGATGGCGGCACAAATTCCATACTGTTGACGTGTCACTACCCAAATCTGGGTAGTGCGTCTGATTGGCTGAAGCAAAATTTCTCTCGTGGCACGAACAACCAGAGGCACCACCCTACCCAGATCTGGGTAGTGGGGGCGTTGCTACATGTCGGCTGTTTTCTCAGGCTACATGAACTATTGCTTGATACGTAAAATTAACATTACCGAAAACGCTCTCGTAGGAAACGATAAAGAGGACAGAAACTTAGACTTCCCTAGCCCCCTGCTTTCCATGCGACTTTCGAGATCGAATCGTGGAACGAGTTCACAATCTCGAACACGTACTGAGCGAGATTTGGTGGAGGGAAGACAGCAAATAGCACGCATGAAAGAGGTTTGAGTATTTAAGTCGTCAAAGAGCTTGGTACATATAAGACCAGATAGATGGCGGCGTCTTGATCTCGCAACCGCGAAGAGAAAGATGGAACTGTTTGGCTGTAAAAAGCATCAAGGAAACTAAATAATTTTCTTTCCATTCAGATGGTGTACTTCTCAGAAATAAGGAATGGGCTTGGTAACGTATTTACCGTGACACGGCTCCAGCATTTTCTTGATTTTTTCCTGTCTAACCTGCTTTTAAAATATGAGAGTCTTTGGTTGTAAGCGTTCTAAAAGAGGGCCCTACCTCAGCTAACTGCCTTGCGAATAGCAAATCGCTTGATTTTAAATACATATTTGGTTCCATATCACACCTTGGATCAAATTCTTGCGTATTACATGGATCAATATTTTCCTCCACCTCGCATGGTCTGTTCGATACGTCATAAAATCCTTCCCGCGGAGTCGCTGATTATCGTGTAACACTGTCATATTTCTTCCTTATTTACTCAACTTGTTTAATTTGACACTGCTTGTAGCCAGCAGTTGCAAAATCACTGCAGAACAAGTCCAACCTAGAGACAAAATAGAAATTGCATTTTATTTTCTAATTGTTTAGAAATAACTGTGACTTTGATCCGGGCTTCTAGCAAAAGGAACGAGGCACTTTCGGGACTATCCATTTTTAATAGGGGAGGGGGGGGGGGAATTCTATGGGTAGCTCCTGCTGCATATAATGACCTTCCTCCCTCTTCACAAGAATTTTAAAGGGTGTTCCCGCATGTTCCCAAATTAATTGACATCATCCCTTCCCCCTCCTCCCCCCCCCCCCCCAAAAAAAAAGGAAGGGAAAAAAAATAAAAAGGAAGGGAAAAGAAAGAAAGATAGAACAAACAAAAAATGAAAAATGGCTAACTGAGTTCGCTACTTTTTCCTAATAAAACGTGTAATTAGGTAGAATTGCCTTTTGGTACATAATAAAGTGAGGGGGGGGGGGGAGGCGGCATGCTTCCTTGGGAAAATCTGAACTTTCTGAATGTCAGAAACGCTGTTTTTTGGCATTCTGGTAGGCTGTTTGCTTTATTAGAATTGCCGTCACTTGAGGCATTTTTTTGGTGACCTCTCATTTAAACCCAATATTTTTTCTTTTGACCCCCCCACCCCTCCCCTCAAATCCCACCAGCTCCCCTACCTGATAAAAAACGAACACTACGTTATTTGTGTGTCAGTGTATTCAACACGAAAGTACTAATTGAGGACACTATATTTACGTCTCCTACTGGAGTCGGGAG